GTTCGTCCCTGCAGTGGCCGTGGCCTGCGAGGCCCCCAAGCGCTTCGCGGTGACCCCAGACCCGGACCCCCAGGCCCACAGCCTTCCCAGACCTCCACGTCCCCTCCACTTTGTTACATGCCAGTCTCCCACGCCTATGCTGCTGGCAATGTTCTCTTCTGCGTCTCAAACCTCGCCGGTCTCCAAGCTATCGAAGCCCCTCGGCTGCCAAGCTGCCCAGTCTGTGACGACTTAAGGCTCTTCGTCCCTCCTAGGACCTCTGTGTGCACCCCACCTGTCCAGGTCTATCCTCCCAAGGGCTAGGGCCACACCCCCATTGCTCACCCTGACTGCTGGGACCTGTTGCTTGGGGTTGGCTTCCTGGGATGGTGGGGCAGGTCTAACATAATAACTGCGCCTTATCCTGCTTGGAAGCCCGCAGTGTTCAACCTGTCCAGTGTCGGCATTCTAGTGATGGGAACTAAGCCTTGCATAGGCCTTGCCCGTGGTCTAACATCTAACCTGAGAGCCAGGCTGGGTGCAGCTTAGTCTTATTCCCAGGCTCTCTTTTTCTCCTTATCATCTGCAGAGGAACCAGTCAAGCAACACTGTGTTCCTCAGTTTCCCTCGTCAAGTGTATGGCCAGGCAGGTGTGCTATGACCTCCTTCTCCAGCAGACTGCTTTATTTTTTTTTTTTTTAAGCCAAGTTCTGTGCCATTCTGTGGGCTCATCCTGGAAGAACAAAAATTGATTTGAAATTCATGATTAGCTGTGATGCAGGAGAATGTTGGCTACTGCCCGACGATTGCTGTGTTGTCACTAGTGACCCTTCTCAGTGAGTGTTCATTGAGCTAAGATACATACTCACACAGTCAGGGTGGGAATGTAACTCAGTGGCAGAACATGTGTGTATCATGTATGAGGCCCTAGGTTCAGTCCCTGGTACTGAGGGGAAAATCTGCTTCATACAGTCCAAGCATTAGGGTAAGAATGTCCACATGCAACACATATGTGGGTACATGTTACACGGATGTGTGGTTTGCCTTAAAATTGTGTTTTGAATACGACTGTGGTTTCCTTATCTATAGTAGAAGAATAGCGCTGTTGTTCAAGTCAAGCCTGAAATGAAGAAATCTTTAATTTTATGAATTTACAGAAGATCCCCATTGTACTGTTTAATATTCTCAAAGGGAAATCCATTTCTAAAGCCAGGTGAGGTGGCACAACTCTGTCATTCCAGTTGTTCAGGAGGCTGAGGCAGGAGGACTCTTGAGTTCAAAGCCAGCCTGGGCTACAGAGTGAGTTAAAGGCTAGTCTCAGTGACTGAGGGAGACTGTCTCTAAAAAAAGAAGTAAATAAATAAATAAATAAATAAATAAATAAGTAGGGAGAGCCTGGGGAGATGGTTCAGGTGTTCAGGAGCTTACTACACAGGCAGCAAATGTAAGGACCCGAGTTCAGATCACCAGAAGCCATGTGAGCACCCGGTAGCCTGGCATAACCCTGCACTTGGCAGGAAGAAGCGTGGGAATCTGATCAAGCTATGTCACTGAACCCTGAACTCAAATGAGTGGCTGTACCTGATAGAGAGTGAAGAGGAATCCCAGTGTCAACCCCCCCCCCCCAATTTTGGATCTTAGTGCTTAAGCATCCTGGTTTTCAAGACATGACCTCTCTCCCTCCCTCCCTCCGTCCCTCCCTCCCTCTCTCCCTCTCTCTCTCTCTTTCTTTCTGATTTTCAAGACATGGTTTCTCTGTGTATCCCTGGCTGTCCTGGAACTTGCTCTGTAGATCAGGTTGGCTTTGAACTCAGAAATCTGCCTCCCTCTGCCAGGATCAAAGGTGTGCACCATTATGCTTGACTTCAAGACACAATCTTATTGGTGTAAGTTACCTTAGGTTTAAAGTTGCTGGTTGGTGGCTTATTTTGACAAAATGTCTCTCTTCCCTGCAGTGTCTGTGTACCCACCTGCTGCTGTGAGCAAAGTGACAGTCAGTGTCTTTTCTTTTTTAGATATAAAGTCATGAAGAACTGGGGAGTGATAGGCGGAATTGCTGCTGCTCTTGCGGCAGGAATATATGTTATTTGGGGTCCCATTACAGAGAGGAAGAAGCGGAGAAAAGGTAGGGATGGGGCCCTGCATCGTGGTCTTTGAATTTGACTTGAGCCCCTTCTGTCTGAAAGCAGTAGAGGAAGCTGGAGGGGGGGGGTGGCTGGTCCTCTCATCTTTAAAGTGAGGACTGTAGTCTATGAAGTAGAACTTCACACAGCCCCACCCTGGGGTGGGAAAGCTCTGTTTTAGCACCTTCTTGCACTTGATTTTAAGACATGCCTTGTGCTAGTCTGGTGGCTTATGCCTGTAATTCCAGCACTCAGGATGCTGGAGCAGGAGGATGCTATGCCATGAGTTTGAATCCAGACTGTGCTGTAACGAAAGTACCAGGCCAGGCAGGGTTACATAGGCAAGACCTTGGCAGGGGTGAAGGGGTGGGGGGAGTGGGGGGATGGGGAGGACAGAGAACCATGCTTTGTAATTATGTTTTAAGTGGCTCAATTGTCTGAGGTTCTCATTAATGTGGAATTGTATTTTCAGTTCTGCAGCTGACAGATTACATCACAGGAGAAATTTTTCTGAGAGGAGGGAAGGGGAGAGGGGAGAGGAGCTAGCAAAGTCTGTTACAAAATCTGATCCTTGTTAAACAAGGGGACAGTTGTAGGGAAGTTCCTTATGTATTTTCATGGATATTTGGGGATTTTCATATTATAAAGTTTCTAAACACTTATGGACAAGCACCCAGGAGGCCGAGGCAGGAGGCTCTGAGATTGGGGCCAGCCTGGGTTCTCTGTACTGAGTTGATGAGTTTTGGCAGAAGAGGAAAAGAGGACACCCTGTCTGCTGGTGCTGCTGTCTTTGCAGATGGACCAGCCAGAATCAGTGTCTTTCTTGGTCACTGTGGCAAGAACAAAAGCATTGTCCCGGGAGGCGGTTCAGTTGCCAGCTGCTGTGGGGACAGTGTTCTGTAACTAAAGGAGAGCATGAGGGTGAGGAGGAAGGCGTGGCTACTACTTTTGTCCATTTAATGTCTGTGCCAGGCACCTGGCAGCGTTTCAGAGTGAGCACAGGACAGTGGCCTGTTCTGTGATTCACAGTTCACAGCATCGAATGCCCAGTGGCCTGGTCTGGCTCAGGTTGGAATCCCAATGGAGGGCTCCCCTGCAGAGACGCAGGGTCCCAGATGGGAGAGAAAAGGTCAGCCCATCATGATGCACCATCATCTTCTCATCTGCACTCTCCTTTAGGGTTGGTGCCGGGGCTCGTCAACTTAGGGAACACCTGCTTCATGAACTCACTGCTACAGGGCTTGTCTGCCTGCCCCGCCTTTGTCAAGTGGCTGGAAGAGTTCACCACTCAGTACTCCAGGGACCAGCAGGGGCCACACACACATCAGTGCCTGTCCTTGACACTGCTGAACCTCCTGAAAGGTACAGTGGGGACTTGAGAGGTCTGCATCTTCAGCATCTAGATGACAGAAGAAATGCTTAACAGCCACTTTGTAGAAAAAGACGGGGGGGGGGGGGCGCAACCCAGAACCTGAGAGGTTTAGATTAAATCATATTTAAAATTAATTTAAAATCAATTAGATTCAAATTAGATCAATCAATTCTTTTAAAGTTGTATTTATTGTATGTGTGCACACTCATGTGCCATAGCACACATAGGCAGGTTGGGATAACTTTGGTTCTTTTCTACCTTATGGTCCTGGGGACTGAACTCAGGTTATGAGATTTGGTGGCAGGTGCCTTTATCACTAACCCCACTTTTTTTTTAAAAAATAAAAAATGGAACCATCTATTTAAAAAAATTGTCAGTTTAGTTGGTGGTGGCACACACCTTTAATCCTAGCACTTGGGAGGCAAAGGTAGGTGGATCTCTGTAAGTTCGAAGCCAGCCTGGTCTACAGAGTGAGTTCTAGGACAGCCAAGGCTACACAGGAAAACCCTGTCTCAGAATACCAAAAATAAATAGATAAACAAATAAATAAATAAATCCACTACCACACAAGCACTTCAACTAAAAGAAGTTTTTTTAAAAAGTGGTGTTTTAGCCCAAGAAATAAGATCATCACAAAAGAAATACAAATAATGGCTCTTAGGTTTTATTTCTTTTTGCCTGTCAGAAAAGATTTTAAAAAGCAAATTGTGAATTCCAGAGCCTGGCAGCTGTTAGCTGGGGTGTGTGCACACTGTGATGGGAGTGGTACTGGGTCTGATCTTTCTTGAGTGTGCTTTGGAATTGCCCTGTGAGCCCTTGCAACATGGCCAGTGCCATCTGGCCTGATAATTTCATGGCTAAAAGTCTTTCTCATGGCTGCTGTTAGCGTCTGGGGAAAGACATGAAGGACTTTTTAGTTATGTGTATGTGTGGGTGCCTATGAAGGCCAGGGGAAAGTGTCAGATCCCCTGGAGCTGGAGTTACTGGCAGTTGTGAGCCACCCTGCATGTGTGCTGGGTCCTCTGAGAGTGCAGCCAAGCTCTTAACTGCTGAGTCATTCATTTCTCCAGCTCCCTAGGAATTTGAAGTCACCTATCCAACGTCATTATTTTTAAATCTACATGTAAAAATGTTTTGCATTTACTTATTTATTTGTGTATGCTTGTGTTTGGGTACATACACATGGCATGGCACATGTGTGGAGGTCAGAGGACAACATGTCTGTTCTCCTTCTGCCCCTTGGGTTCCTGATCAAAATCAGGTCAGTAGACTTTGTCACAGTACCCTTACCTGCCAAGCCATCTTGCAAATCCCAAATTCAGTTTTGAACAAAAGGTTTTTGTTTTTTTGTTTGTTTTTGCTACTGAACTGTCCTTGATGGTACTTGTTAAAATCTGGATATCACATGGTACATGCACAAAAGTCTCCAGCACGTTCCTAAACACCGAGGGGTGTGGGTGTCTGACAGAAGGCCAAGGGACCAGTGGCACACTGCCATGCAGGGCTGCTTTTACCAGTTTGTTCTCTTTTAATTTGGGATAGGTAGTAATGTTAAGTTAAAAGGAACAGGGTAGAGAATATGATGTGGTTTCATTTCACTGACCTAAGAGCTTCACAGCTAATGGCCACTTTCTAGGAAAAAGGCTAAAATGGAGGTGGTCTTGGTACAGTACTGTTAGTGATAATTTTAACAAACATTAAAAAAAAAAAAAAACCCAGCCGGGCGTTGGTGGTACACCCCTTTAATCCCAGTACTCAGGAGGCAGAGGCAGGAGGATCTCTGTGAGTTGGAGGCCAGCCCGGTCTCCACAGCAATTGCCAGGATAGTCTCCAAAGCTACAAGGAGAAACCCTGTCTCGAAAAGCAAAAAACAAAAAACAAAAAAAAAAACCAATGTACATGCTGGGTGGTGGCAGCACATACCTTTAATCCCAGCACCTGGGAGGCAGAGGCAGACGGATCTCTGTGAGTTTGAGGACTGGTTCCATAGCTACTGAAAAACCCTGTCTTGAAAAACAAACAACAACAACAAACCCCAAAAAACAAACTTTGCTACTGCCTAGCTATAGCAGCACTTGATACTCTCACAGTCAGAAGCACAGGGCTGGGAAGAGCCCTCAGTAAGGTGCTCACTGCTCAAGCTTGAGGACCCACGCTTGGATCTCCAACCCCTACACAACAGGCTGTAATCCCAGCAATGTGAGGCAGAGACAGGAGAGTCCTGCAGCTCTCAGGCCAGCCAGTCTAGCCTATCCGTGAATTCCAGGTTTAGTGAGCATGTCAGTCTCAAAAAATATGGTGGAGAGTGGTACAGGAAGAGGTTTGATGTCTAACTCTGGCCTCCATAGACACACACACACATACCTATGTATATGTGTATGAGGTTCTGTGACATCTAACTCTTGCCTCCATAGCCTACATATCTGCACATGAAGTGTTTTGTTTTGTTTTGTTTTGTTTTCTGGCATTGGCGTTTCCCTGATGATGAGTGGTCCTGCAGCCCTTCATCTGCCTGTTGGCCATTGTCTTAGGAGAAATGACTGCTCAAGGCTCTACCTGTGTTTGTGTTGGGTTGTTGGGTTTTTTTGTTTTGTTTTGTTTCCGAGACAGGTTTCTCTGTGTAGCTTTGGAGCCTATCCTGGCACTCGCTCTGGAGACCAGGCTGGCCTTGAACTCACACAGATCCGCCTGCCTCTGCCTCCCAAGTGCTGGGATTAAAGGCATGTGCCACCAATGCCCGCCCAGCTTGGCCATTGCTTCCTTTATGCCTGCCAGATCTCCCTGTAGAAGTCTCTTGCTCCCCCTGAGCCTCAGTTTCTCCTGAGCCTTGAATTCTGCAAATGGAAATGGGGATAGTCATAGCCCTTCCCCACTGGGTAGCTCTCAGACTTCCATGACAAATTTCTTTCTTTTCTTTTTTTCTTTTTCTTTTTTTGGTTTTCCAACACAGGGTTTCTCTATATAACAGTCCTGGCTGTCCTGGCACTCTCTCTGTAGACCACACTGACCTCGAACTCACAGAGATCCGCCTGCCTCGGCCTCCTGAGTGCTGGGATTAAAGGCGTGCATCACCACTGCAGGGCCCATGACAAATTTCTGTTTGGGCTGGGAGATGGCTAGGGTGGTGGTGCTGGAAGACCTGCGTGGCATCTCTAGCATCTGTGTCAAAAGCCAGCATGGTGGCACATGCCTGAGTATCTGCAGTGGGGATGGGGACACAGGGGGATTCTTGGAGCCTTAAGTCCTAGTCAGAGGCCCTGCCTGGAAAAGGTAGTGGAGGAGGGTGCCTGAGAAGGAATGACATTTGAAATTTTCCGGTTTCCTTTTTTTTTTTTTTTTTCTCTCGAGATAGGGTTTCTCTGTGGCTTTGGAGGCTGTCCTGGAACTAGCCCTGGAACTAGCTCTTGTAGACTAGGCTGGTCTCGAACTCACAGAGATCCTCCTGCCTCTGCCTCCCGAGTGCTGGGATTAAAGGCGTGTGCCACCAACGCCCGGCTCAAGGAGTACTTTTTTAATAGAACTTTTTTCTTTTAAATATTGATGTGTATGTGTGTGGAGGGCCACATGTATGTGGGTGTCATGGAGACCAGAAGAGGGCATTGGGTTCCCTGGAGCTGGACTTACAGGTGGTTGTGAACTGCCTGATGTGGGTGCTGGGAACTGAACCCGGCTCCCCTAGAGAGCAGCCAGTGCTCTTAGTGCTGAGCAACCTCTGCGGCCCTGGTGCTTGGTGCCTCCTACTTCTTCCCCTTTGCATCTGTGTGGCCTGTAGCCTCCTCGCTCTGTAGCTTAGTGGTGTCTGTGAGCCCTGCTGTTCAGTCTTCCTTCCAGGCTGCAGCACACATCTCTACACATGGCCAGTTGTGCATAGACACATGTTTCCTCAGGTAGACTGGAGGAGCTGCACTGCTGGTGGCAGGTTATGAAACTGACATTTTCCCAGGAGTGTGATTCCTTTCTCAGCTCTCTGTGCAGCCTTTGTCCTGGATGGTGAGGGGCTGGGCCAAGGTGCTGTTAGCTCATACTGCTCAGGTAGCTGCCTCCCATGTCCTGCCCCTCAAGGGTGGGAGGTCAGCATGCTCCCACTCTCTGAAGTCAGAGCTCTGACTGAAAAACAAGTGGTAAGGTGGTCTGCCCTGGGTTATATGTGGATCACTGAACCAAAACCTGAGACCACAGAACCTTCCTTTATCTCCCACTTTACCAACACCAGCCCCGTGCACTGTGCCTGGAAGCCTCTGGTCAGAATGAGAGTTAGTTGGCACTCTGTGGCCTGGGGCCAGTCTAGGGCTCCCTATCTTTTTTTGCTGTTGTATTTTGTTTTGTTGTGACAGGGTGTCACTATGTAGCCCTCATTGTCCTGGAGTTCATTGTGTAGTCCAGGCTGGCCTCAGACTCAAAGAGATCTGCCTGCCTCTGCCTCCTGAGTGCTGGGATTAAAGGTGTGTGCCACAACACCTCTTTGATTTACTTTTGTTTATGTACCTGTGTGCATCTGTGTGGGTATTCTTGGAGGCCAGGAGAGGGTGCCAGATCCCTTAACTGGAGTTAAAGTTGGAGAGTGTCCTGATTTTGGTGCTGGGCTCTGAACTCCAAGCAACAAGTGCCTTTAACCATTGCAGCTCCCTCCAGCCCTGGGGCTGCCTGTCTTGCTAGTGAAGCCTCCTCAGTGTCCAGTTCAGGAGCCATTTAGATTGTGTTTTTTCCTAATTATATTATTTATTTATCTACCTATCATTTATTTACTTATGTGATTATTTCGTACGTGTGTGTGTGTGTGTGTGTGTGTGTGTGTGTGTGTGTGTGTGTGTAGTTGGTCTGTGGTTGCACCTGTGCTTCATCCACTGAGCTGAGTAGTTGGACAGCATACTCCTAGAGAAAAGGAGCTGACCTTAGGTGTAGATAGAGTCATGAATCCCTAGAGACCCAACTCTTCTTATAATTTACATGATTCATTTTACTATTATTTAGAATGGGACCTTGTTCAGTTCACAGCATTGGTCCCAAATTCCTAGGGTCAAGAAATCTTCCCACCTTAGCATTCTCAGTAGCTGGGGCTATGACCCATGCACTGCCCCAGACAGACTTTTGTTTTTGTTTGTTGGGTTTTATTGCACTGCTGCTTATAAAGTGATGCATTCAGCTGCTTTGTGCATCACGGGATGCTTGATGCCTGCTGGTCAGAAGCACATAAATAAACACAAGCAAAGTCAGAGAAGCCACAGGAGAGCCCTGGGGAGGGGTGTTCAGTTAACTGTGGGGTTAGCCTAGTAATGAGGGTCCTTCAACCTTGAGAATGATGTATTTAGATCATACTCAGCTGACTTACAACATTGCTCCTCACCAGTGATGGTCATTTGTAGCTTCCTGAAATCTTAAGATTCATTCAGCAGACACGCTATGCTTCCTTCCTGACTCAGTGTGTGTAAGGTTCTGAAAAGCACAAGGGAGGAGGAGGAAGCTGTGGTGTCACCTGGCAGTGGTGTCACCTCTGCATGCTGTGGTGTACTGCATTTCTGACTGGTTCTTCTGCTCTGCCTGCCTTCCTTATACCCAGCTTTGTCCTGCCAAGAAGTCACTGAGGATGAGGTCTTGGATGCAAGCTGCCTGCTGGATGTCTTGAGGATGTACAGGTGGCAGATCTCGTCCTTTGAAGAACAAGTAAGCACTCCAGACCACAGGCTGAGCTTGGAGAGTCCTTTTCCCTAGGGACTGTGTGTGTGTGTGTACGTGCACGCACGTACCACTGGGGATCAAGCCTAGGGCCTTGAATGTGCTAGGCAAGTGCTCTCCCACTGAGTTATATACCCTGCTTTTCTGTGACATTTTGGACAGTCTTAGTTTTGTGTGAACAGAGCTTCAGTGTCTCCCTGATGTCCTGATTAGAGAGGACACAAAATCCATGTCATTCTTGTATGGATACCTAGCACTGGGCAAAAACAGTGGTCCCAAGAGAGAGCTTCTGGCTTTCTCTGACTCTGCACTCCAGGTCATGAGAGAACCTCCAGCCCATTTTGTGTCTGTACCAGGAGCTCTAGGAGACACACTGGGCTTACTCCTTCATGTGTGTTACCTAACTGCATCCCTGTGCCAGCCCTGTAAGGAGTCATGGTGCAGACGGGAACACAGCTCAGAGAAGCCAAGTGACTTGCCCAGTCACCTGCTGTGTCAGTGGCAGAGCCGGGATTGAAGTGGTCTGGTACTGAAGTGCCCTCTCATCCTCCACCCTCTTTCGCAGTATTGCGTCTTTCCTCACAGCTCGAGTAGCTTGCAGACTGGCTGACACAGAGGCTGCTTGAGCCTACAGAAAGTGCCAGCTATCGACTGGTTTTCCTTCCTGACAGGGCTGAGATGTGCTTGAGCTATTGGTGAGTGGTGGCTTTCCACACCTGCCTCAGTGTAAGCACTTGCAGCCTGGCAGGGTGACAGTGGGAGCAATGGGGCTCTGAGTCTTGCACCGGTGACCCTGAGTTCAAGGTCAGCCCATGCTGTGAGATGCTGTCTCCATGTGAAAAGTACAAAAAAGACTGGGATATAGGCCAGTCAGATGCTGACTCACATGCCCAAGGGTCCCATCCTAGTACTGCAGATTATATTAAATTCAAATTTTAAAATTATGACAGAGTGCCCTGGTTTGCTGTGACTTCTGCTTGGAGGGTATCCCAGTATGGGTTGCTGTTGCTGTGTAGACACACCATGGCCAAAAGCAAGTTGGGGAGGAAAGGGTTTATTTGGCTTACACTTCCACATCATAGTTCATCATTGAAGGAAGTCAGGACAGGAACTCAAGCAGGGCAGGAACATGGAGGCAGGAGTTGATGCAGAGGCCATGGAGGGGCCAGGATGCTTACTGGCTTGTTCCCCCTTGGCTTCCTCAGCCTGCTGTCTTGTTTTTTTGTTTGTTTGGTTTTTTTTTTGTTTTTTTTGTTTTTGTTTTTTCGAGACAGGGTTACTCTGTGTAGCTTTGGAGCCTATCCTGGCACTTGCTCTGGAGACCAGGCTGGCCTCGAACTCACAGAGACCCGCCTGCCTCTGCCTCCAGAATGCTGGGATTAAAGGTGTGCGCCACCAACGCCCGGCCAGGGCCCTCCCCTGGCCAAATAAACCCTTTCCTCGCCAACTTGCTTTTGGCCATGGTGTGTCTACACAGCAACAGCAACCCATACTGGGATACCCTCCAAGCAGAAGTCACAGCAAACCAGGGCACTCTGTCATAATTTTAATTAAATCACTAATTAAGAAAGCGTCCAATAGGCTTGCCCACAGCCCAGTCTCATGGAGGCATTTTCTCAGTTGGGGTTCCTTCCTCTCTGATGACTCCAGCTTGTATCTCAGTACATAACCAGACAGCACGGCAGGGAGGCATTGCCAGGATGTGACAGGCAGGTAAGGAAAGGTGGGAGGCTTCTGCAGGGACCCAGCTCAGAAAGTACAGCTCAAGTGTGGCCTAGGCAGTGCTGAAGAGGTTTGGAGTTTGGGGTGTGTTTAAGAGCTGGAGCTTCAAGCTTCATGCTGGTTTGGCCCAGTGGGTAGTGGGGAGGAAAATGGGGTGACTGGATTGTTGTCATAGTGTCCCTCAGAGCTCCCGTGGGATGGGAGGTCTAAAGAATGAGAAGGGGAGGGGCAGCACTGTGGAGTCAGGACAAGCCTGAGACTGGAATAAGCTTGGTGTGCTGTGGGAACACAGAAGATGCCAGGGCCAGAGCCTGTCACTGAGCGCAAGAGTTCTGGGGGACACGTGGGGCCCTCATTCTGCTGTAGAAGGCATTGCATGCAGGTCAGGGGGGCCTTTCTCTGGCAGAGTTGGCCATCAGAGACTGGATGTGGACCTTCCAGAAGCTGGGTGAGCTCAGGATTCAGTGCCTATTTGACATGCATGTGACCCTGGCTTCCATTGCCAGCATGCAAAGCCAAAAATAAATAAAAGCTGAAAGATCTGATTACTGTGACCTGAAGCTGAGCTCAAGTGTGAGATCTGTTCTTACTGCTTTGAAACAATCACCCTGACACCTGTGTGCAGTGAGGCTCTAGCGGGATCCACAGGCCTGGGGCAGAGTGAAGAGGAGGCTGCAGCTTGGGGAAGACATCTTTCAAATTGCTCCTTAGAGGCATTTCCTGCCACAGGACCCAGTAGTGCCACCTCTGGGCATGTCCTGGAATTGCAAGCAGAAACTCAACACCGGTGTTTGTACATTTACACACTTAGCAGAATTCCTCACAGAAGCCAACAGGCAGAGCACTGCAAGTGCCCTCCAGTGGGAAGAGAGATAAAGACAAAAGCCTTCCCTTGGTCACTGAGCCCAGGGCCTTGCCTGCACCACCACTAAGCTGCATCATCAGTTCAAACAACAATATTATTTTTATTTTCTGTATGTGGGTGTTTTGTCTGACATGTACCTTGTATGTGCCTTGCTTCCAAGGGGACCAGAAGACAACCTCAGATCCTCTGAAACTGGGGCTACAAATGGTTGTGAGCCACCATGTGGATGCTGGGAACCGAACCCAGATCCTCTGCAAGAGTCACCAGTGCTTCTACTCACTGAGTCATCTCTCCAGCCCCTAAACAAAATTGTATACAGTACAATACAGCCAGCCCTTAAAAGGAAAGGGATTCTGCTACATGGTGCAGTGTGGGTAAACCCTGAGGACAGTGAGCTCAGTTGGACGTGTGACTCTGGTTCCATTCGTATAAGGTGGCTGTCAGATTACTAGACACAGAAGATAGGGTAGTGGGTGTCAGAACGGGGTAGGGGTTAACCTCTAGTGGGTTTGCTGTCTTGGTGGAGATGGACAGTGGTGCTGGTTGCACAGCAATCTGAATGTGCTCCATGCTGCTTTTGTACATCTGGCAAGGTTGGGTTATTGAATTTTGTGCTACATACATCTTGCCTTGGTTTTTAAAGTAAGCCCCCCTGGAATTGGGTGCAGGCCACCTTCAGTGATGGGACCCTGAGGATACAGAAAGCAGTCTGCCCTGGTAAGGGTTGGATCTTCTGCCCATGGCCTGGGTAATGACCCTGGGCTTGCCTCACAGGCCTCTCTCAAGGATGCTTTGTCCTTTGACAGGATGCTCACGAGTTATTCCATGTCATCACCTCATCACTGGAAGATGAACGAGACCGCCAGCCTCGAGTCACTCATTTGTTTGATGTTCATTCCCTGGAGGTAATGTCTTCAGTGTCAGTCTGTGCATGTTCGTACGTACAGGACACACAGGCTTTGTCAGACACAGTAATCAGGAGGTGTGAGGCTGGCAAACCTTAAACTGCACACTTGGTGTGTGTGCTGGGGGTGGCCTGCTCTTCAAGAGGACTCAGTGCTGCAGCTTGGGTTGTGTTGGAGGGTGTGTTTTTCTTTTAGTGGAGGCGGGGTGAGGGCCATGGGTTCCCTGAGTCAGTGCTCTTCCCCCTGCAACATTGTAAAGAGTTGGCAAAGGGGAGTATCCCAGAGAGAAGAGCCATGTTTTTCTGGCCACCATAAAGGAACTCATGCAGAAACCAGCCAGAAGGCTGGTCAGTGCTACCTTCAGAAAGTGGCCTGTGGACAGCGTTGATTTTGATGGCAGGTCAGTGCCACCTTCAGAAAGTGGCTGTGGACAGCGTTGGTTTTGATGTTGCAGGTGACTCAGAAACTTGTGCAATTCCTGGGTGGTAAGAGCAGTTTATAGGGTTGCAGTTGGGTTTCACTCTCTCTCTTTTCTTCCTACAGCAGCAGTCAGAAGTGACTCCCAGACATGTGACCTGCCACACGAGAGGTAGTCATTTTCATTGATTAAATATGTACTTCTAGAGAAGGGAATGAGAACAAACTGTGTGCCTTTTGGATAGGACAGCACTACATAGATCTGTCCTGCTGGCTGTGTCCAGCCAGGGCTGTGCTGGGCCTCCACACATCTGCTGAGGGCCTGGAGTGTTCTGGAAATAGCTTTGAGTGAGGAGCTCAGCCTAACTCAGGCTCCTCTCACCACTTCCTCTACTGCAAGCCCCCTCCCCTCCCTTGAATCTTAGGTCCTGGGAAAATTTAGTAAACAGAATCTGTCCTTCAGCATTTCCACTTTGGTGAGCTTTCACCGCAGAGTATCATAGCTCTCTTGAGAAATCTTGTTTTCTCAGAGTAGAAACCAGCACAGCCTCTAGGTCAGTCATCAGGCCAGGGGATAGTCCCAGGCAGTGTCAGGCAGCTCAGCTTCTCATCTGAGCCCTACAGCAGACACAGGGGACAATAACCTGTTTCCACCAAATGAAATTCACAGAAGCCAAGAGTGGGCCCATGCCTGTAACCCACACACTTTTGAGACTGAGGCAGGAGGATTTACTGTGTCTTTAGGGCCAACCTGGGTTATATAGTGAGTTTCAGGTCAGCCTGGGCTATATAGCATAAGACCTTATTTCTGTGTCTCAAAAAGAGGTTGACATGAAGTAATTTCCCAGGTCACATGACTAACAGGCAGACTCAAGACCTCACTCCCAGCAGCCTGGTTCTAGAGAGAATTTCTCACTAGTGTTTTTTCCACTAACCACTGTCCCAATCAAGGAGCAGCCAGGTTCTCTAAAAGTTGTTCATTCAGGTTGTTTCTGAGCTTCTCTTGCTTTATGGACTGCCTTTGCCTCCTCCTGCCCTCTCTAACATAGCATCCTTCTCCTCCTCCTGCCCTCTCTAACAGTACTTGTGCATCTGTAGATCTCACATAGTATCCTCCTTGGTGTCTGCTCCGTGGTACCCAGCCTCACAAGTGTGCCTTAAGACTCTTCTGTGAGCATGAAACTGGAAGTCAGCAAGGAACAGTCACTGTGCTTCACAAAACAGTTTCCTAAGGGAGGAATGTCTGTTGTGTGCTAAGGAGGGTGGAGTCTGATTGGATGACTGACATGTCCAAAGGTGCTTTGCTTCCAGGGTCTCCTCACCCCACGTCCAATCACTGGAAGTCTCAACACCCTTTCCATGGAAGACTCACTAGTAATATGGTTTGCAAGCACTGTGAGCACCAGGTTAGTGATTGCCCCTCCATGACATCCCCAGGGAGACTGTGCTTAAGTCAGGATGCAGGAGAGGGCCCAGAGAGTACAGGCTAGCCTCAGGGGGCAGCCTTGGCAATTGCCTGCACTCTGTACACCTGGGTCAGTGCCAGTGTCATTTAACCCTCAGACGGCATCTGCCCTGAGAGCAGATGTGCTGTCGATTGCAGGATTTCAGATCCTAAGCTTGAGTGTCTGCCTGCTTATGATGCATACAGCAGATTTGAGGAGTGGATTCTGTCTTCTGACACCTCAGTCCTGAATGGTTCTGCTTTTCTCTAGCACTGTGCAAAGTAGGCAGGCAGACCTCACCTAGGAGCCCATTTCTGTCCATCATATGCTGCCCAAATGGTCCTGCTTAAAGTCTTTCCAGGGACTGCTGGTCTAAACTACCCCATCGCCTCACACTGCAGCATGGCCATCTGTGCAGAAACTCACGTATTCCACTGTTAATGCAGGCTTGCTCTGTGGCCATCTGCAGTTATATGATGACCCCCTAGGCCTCAACTATGCCCGTGTATGGTGCTGTCAGTGGCTGTGATGGAAACCCTGGTAGTTGGTACCAACCAGTTCCTTAGGATGGAGACATGCATACTCCCCAAGTTGCTGGGTCGGTTGTATACTTGAGCCGTTTTCATGCTGCTGTTTACTGTTGTTGTGCTTTATATTCTGCAGTGTTAGTTTAATATCCGAATACTAAACCACTCCATCTGTTGAATCTAAGCTCTCTTTGGATTTTCTTCACTATTTGTTTCAGAGTCCTGTTCGATTTGATACCTTTGACAGCCTTTCCCTTAGTATTCCAGCTGCCACTTGGGTATGTACACATCTGTGGCTTATTTGGATCTATCCCAAAGGGGCTTTGAGGCATTTACTGTGGCCCCGGTACTAAGTGTCATTCAGACATGTGGCTGGCCAAGCTGCTTAGCTCTGATGTGAGGGCCTGATTGTGGGAGAGGGACGGTAACACTTGATCTCACTAAAGACATCAGCATTCTGAACACTTGTGCTTTGTGCAGACATCTCAGACACTAAGATTGTAGCTCTGTGTGCAGTACACAGTCCCCAAAGCTCCGCCCCTCTCCTGAGCCTGTGCAGGTGCACAGTCCCCACTACTCTCCTCCTCCCCCCCAGGCCTGTACAGGTGCACACACAGTCCCCACTACTCCCCCCCCCCAGGCCTGTGCAGGTGCACACACAGTCCCCACTACTCCCCCCCCCAGGCCTGTGCAGGTGCACACACAGTCCCCACTACTCCACCCCCAAGGCCTATGCATAATCCCCACTACTCCACCTCCACCCCCCTCCCCAAGGCCTGTGCAGGTGCACACACAGCCCCCACAGCTTTGCCCCTCCTGAGCCTGTCAGTAGTAGCAGCGTAGGATTGAATGACACTGAGATGTGTTTGTGGAGCTTTGTGCCTGTGTTCTTCTGCCACCTGCTAATGGCTTTAGCGTGGCTCTCTTGTGAGCTGTTCTAACTGCCCACTCCTGCTCTAGGGGCACCCGCTGACCCTGGACCACTGCCTTCATCATTTCATCTCATCTGAGTCGGTGCGAGACGTTGTGTGTGACAACTGTACAAAGGTATGCATTACAGTGTCACCTCTCAGCTGGAACCAGGTGCTTTTATAGTACCTCTCATGCCATGCCTCCCTGAGCTTCCAGCTACATGTGCCCAGGGCATCTTTCAGCCACTGTCATTTCCCCTGCCTTGGTTTTCAGAGTGGCTGCCTATAATTTTGCTTCCTAGATGAGTCTTGTTTCTTCCACAGTGTTTACAGAAGAAATCGTAAGCTTTGTGCGTAGATCTGAGCCACACCCACTCCAGTTGTAGCTCCTCCATTCCCTTTGTCCTGTGTCCACCTTTTCCTCGTGCCAGCCTTCCTTCTTGATCCAGAGGAAATATGTAGACTGTGGGGGGCTGAAGGGGTGAGTCCACACAGCAGCTGTATCACACACATACAAGCATGCATGCACACGCATGCACGTGCAAGTCTGTCTCTCATATGCACACACTCGCACACGTACATACAGGCGCATGCACACTCACATACACACTCAACACTTAGCCCACTCTACCATGGATAATGATTCCCGAAAGCTGCATTCCTGGAGCTTCCTGCTCAACTGTAGGCAGCTTCACTGAAGTCTCCTCTTTCCCAGCAATTGCTCCGTTGATGTAATCTCGTGGGGTAGGTCTTGGAAGTTCCAGTGACTTTCCTTAGCCTTGTATGTCCCTGTAAATTTGCAGGGCCTCCTGAGCTTCCCTGCACACTGGAGAAGAGAAAGCTTTAGTTTGGGGGAAGTGGGACTTTGGGTACTGCCAGGTGGCAGTTGGTCAGAAAATATGCTGCTCACGGGTGCCCTCTGGTATCCATGTAAAGAGCTGACTGCTGCTCCACCTCTAGGGTCTTGGGACTCTGCTTTGGGCCAGGCCACAGGTGCTGAAATCCACTTCCTGTCCCAGTCCCACTATCAGCAGAAACTGCTTGGTGATTCTGAGGCTCTCTCAAGCAGAGAGGTCCAAGGCGTCCAGCATTGTCCCCAGAAGCCATTCAAGAGAGACTCCTGAGCAAAGTGTACAGGGTTGGGCACCTCCCAAGCCTCCTGCTGTGAATGGGGTAGAAAGAAGGAAGGAAGAAGGGGGCCTGGGGAACCCACACAGGATTGGTTTTTAGAGTTATTTATTTTATGTGTATGAGTGCTTGCCTGCATGTATGTGTCTGTACACCATGTGTCGGGTGTCCACACAAGTCAGAAGAGAGCATGGGATCCCCTGGAACTGGAGTTACAGATGGTTATGAGCCATCATGTGGGTGCTGGGAACCAAACCTGGGTCTTCTGGAAGAACACCAAGTGCTCTAAACTGCTGAGATAGACCTCTGTAGCCCTCTCTCCACAGAGTTTTTGAATATAAGATTTAAGAAGTTCATGCTTCGCCGGGCGTTGGTGGAGCACGCCTTTAATCCCAGCACTTGGGAGGCAGAGGCAGGCGGATCTCTGTGAGTTCGAGGCCAACCTGGTCTCCAGAGCGAGTGCCAGGATAGGTTTCATAGCTACACAGAGAAATCCTGTCTCAAAAAACCAAAAAAAAAAAAAAAAAAGAAGAAGTTCATGCTTCAGCGTTGGTTTTCCACTTTGTCTCCCTCCATGGCTCCTGTTATTTAATGACTAAGAGGAATCTGTGAGATCAACTGTCAGTTCCAGTAGGTGTCTGCTTCCAGGACCCTGACGACATATGCTGTTGCTTTATTACAGATCGAAGCAAAAGGAGCGTTGACTGGGGAGAAGGTGGAACACCAGAGGACCACTTTCGTTAAACAATTGAAGCTGGGGAAGGTGAGCCCACCCGTGCGTGTGGTCGGCCATGCTTTGGGAGGACTCTGTCTGCTCCTGAAACACCCTAGCACTGCACTTTCCTCTCTACCCACAGCTGCCTCAGTGCCTCTGTATCCATCTCCAGCGGCTCAGCTGGTCCAGCCATGGCACGCCCTTGAAGCGGCATGAGCACGTGCAGTTTAACGAGTTCCTGATGATGGACTTCTATAAGTACCGCCTCCTGGGACACAAGCCCAGTCAGCATGGCCCCAAAGCCAGTGAGAACCTAGAGTCTGCCCTGGAACTACAGGACACACAATCGGCCCAAAAGCCAGGTGTGTGCTGGAGGACACCCTGCACAGAGAGGGTTTGCTGTCCCCATTTTTGGCTCTTATGACATGCATACTGGCTGTGCATTGGTTGGCTAACCTCATAATAGCAGGATTGGGGGTGGAAGGGAAATGGCTTGTTGTTTCTTCTTTGTAGCACTAGGTTCAGAACCTAGTACTACTAGGCAAGCACTCTCCCTGAGCTATGGCCCAGCCAGCATTTCCTAAAGGGCTAAAATTACACAGTAATGAGACATGGGATTTTAAAACTGTCACAGGGCCAGCAAGTTGGCTTGTAGTAAAAGCAACCTCAGTTAAATACTTGGAACTGACATACAGGTAGAAGAAGAGAACATGTTCCACAAAGTTGTTCTCTGACCTCCATACACTTGTAGCATGTATCTATGTAATAATAATGGTATTGTTCAAAACTGTGAAAACATGAAGAGATAGGACAGGTAACAGCCAGGGCAGTTGCACAGAGAAACCCTGTGGTTTTTGAGACAGGGTTTCTTTGTAGCATTGGAGGCTGTCCTGGCACTCACTGTGTAGACCAGGCTGGTCTCAGACTCACAGAGATCCGCCTGCCTCTGCCTCCTGGGTGCTGGGATTAAAGGTATGTGCCACCATTGCCCAGCAGAGAAACCCTGTTTTTAAAAAAAAAACAAGAGGAAGAGAAAAGGGAAGAAAAAGAAAACAAATGAAATAAAAGCTATCACAGATGGAAAGGTGCAGGGAGACACTGCCACCTTGCTTTTGACCTTTTAATGGAACCTCTTCCGGCTGACAGTGTGTGAGTGCCTCACTGGGTCGACCACCCTGCTTTACTTTTGGGAACCTGCCACCTATTTGCCTCACTTCTTGATGGCCTCAGAGATCCTCCTGCCTCTGTCTCTCAAGTGCTGGTATTAAAGGTGTGCACATCATGCCTGGCTTTGCCTTACTATTCATAGTACATGGTGAGAGCCTTGGTTTGCATCAGAAGCCAGGGGTTCTGCTGCTCACCTGACAAAAGTCATTGGCAGGTGCGAGGGGCCCCTGAGCAGGGCAACTGCTACTACATAGACACTGAGCAAAGGTAGGAGAATTTACACATCAGTCTAATTCAGTAGTGTGTGGCAGTGCATCTTCAGGGTGAGTGGATGCAGGTGGTAGCCAGCCATTGTGCTGCTTGCCCATGCCTGGCACCTGGAGGCCAAGGTGGCATTTCAGAACCATCTTGTTGGGCTGCACTGCATGACCCTGTCTGCAGCCAAGCAGAAACCACAACCTATTGTTTGCACTGATCAGCCCTTTTCTCTTACAGGTCTGAGCCAGCCAGGGGCCCCCAAGACACAGATTTTTATGAATGGCGCCTGCTCCACGTCTCTGTTGCCAACCCTGTCTTCCCCGATGGCCTTCTCCCTGCCAGTGGCTCCTGACTACAGGTGAGGAGGGTGGCTGAGGAACCTGCCACACACTCACTGTGGCTCTACAGTTCTCAGTGTCCCCAGTGGGCTTTACGCCAATAGAATGAAAGAGTGATTTTCTCTTTAAGGTACAATATAGCATTGTTACCCATAAATGTCCAACATGGGAGTATTTCTAAAGAAAAGATTAGGGAAGCGTATGAAATCTGCATGTGTGTGCTCATATGTGTAGCACGTGAAGGGAACTGTTTCCTGGGATTTCAGCGAGGCAGCCAGTGCTGACTTTAGTTAGCCCTGTTGGAAGCATGTGAGGAACATGTGTCCCATTTGGCGCACGTCCTGCTGTATTTAACAGTGTGCTTGTGCTCCGTTGCACTCACCTCCTATAGTGTAACATAAGGGTTTTTGTTTGGCTTTGCCTACAAGGCCTGCTTCTGTCATAAACCACTGGTATTTTTCCCACCCATCAGCTCCTCCACATACCTATTCCGATTGATGGCAGTTGTCGTCCACCATGGAGACATGCACTCTGGACACTTTGTCACTTATAGACGGTCACCGCCTTCGGCTAAGAACCCTCTCTCAACCAGCAACCAGTGGCTGTGGATTTCCGATGACACTGTCCGAAAGGCCAGCCTGCAGGAGGTCCTGTCTTCTAGTGCTTACCTGCTGTTCTATGAGCGAGTTCTGTCCAGGGTGCAGCAGCAGGGGCGGGAGTACAGGGCTGAGGAGTGACAGGCCAGCCCAGAGCTGGGGCCCATGGTGAGGTCCACAGTCCGGGATAAAAGAAGGCATGCCACGCGTACACGTGCAAGCCAACCCCTCTAGAGCCCCTCAGCCTTCTGTGTATTCTGAGAGCAGGCTCCACGTGGGAGCCAGTCCTACGCAGCGCTGCCAGGGTGTACCAGAAGGTGTCCTCATGTGAGGATAGTATCCATTGTGACACAGGTCATTAAAAGAAACAGACTCCAGGAGCCACCCTTTCTATACTGTAATATGCTAGGTGTTCTCAGAGGGCATTGCCTTTGTCTGATCCTCTGACATTTCAGCATAGATATTTATTTTTTAATAAGGAGGCCCATAAATATTATTGACAAGAATTAGTGAAATTATTAAAGGCAACAATTCAGAAGAAAAGTGCCTTTCCCTTCCAGTTGTTCTGAGATTAGGCATGACCCAAGAGTCACAGGCATGATGTTGGGATAGCCCTCGTCCATCCCAGTTCCTTGGAGGTCAAAAGGACGATTAAGAATGGTGGCTCATGCCTGGAATCCCAGCACTCAGAGGCTGAGGCAGGAGGATCACTGCAAATTCCGGGCCAGCCTGGACTACATAGTAAAACCTTGTCTCCTCCCACAAAGCCTCAAGAACACCTCCCCACCTTTGGGTATGCCTTTTGGAATCTTCAGTTCTTTATGTGTAGTCAAGGTCACTTGCCAATCCCACCCTGGATGAGGGGTGGTCCTAGCCTCTTCCAAAACTGTGATGTCTGCACTGTCTGCTGCTATCTGCTACGTAAGATGGCTCGCTTCGTGTTATCAGTTGCCCATAATAGGGTTTACAGTCAAGAGCCTGGGCAGGGTGAGAGTGCGCTGGCCCAGGGCTGCAGTTGCTCCGAACCTTGCTTTCTTAGTGGCCACAGTGAGGAGGAAAGCAGCATGAAGTCCGAACAGAACTGTGTAGTGGCATCTTGTTCCGCCAGTGAATTTGGGGTGGTGGCCACACCTTAGGGTGTGGCTTCATGTTGCCATTACGCTCTAGGACCATATTCTAAGTATGTGTGTCTCCAGTGACCTCAAGCAAAGGGTACACTGGGCATTTTCTTCCCTTCTCAGATAAGTTTCACAAAACCCAGGGATGGGATGGAGAATCTCAGTGGCACACTAGTACGTGTTAGCTAAGTTTGTAATTTAAAAAAAAAATGATACCAAACCAAAATCAGACTGACTGTTCCGATGTAAGATTTGGAACCAGACCTATCCAAAGGTCGCTGAGGTAAGGCCAAGGACTTGTTTTCTCCGCAGGGGTAAGCTGGCAGACATTCCAGATGTGCCTAGGCATCGGCTATGAGATAGGTCTTACTGTGTATCCTGAGGACTTGAGACTGTGAGACTGTTCCCCTCCAAGCAACAGCTCCCACAACATGAGCGGTTGACCCATTCGTGTGGCCCAGGCGGCCCTGCAGACCTGGCTTTTGGGTTGAGGTGAACACACAAGTGCTCGGTCACTTGGATCACTTGTGATCTTAGAGCACTTTGCAGGACTGTAGGCTCTAGTCCTGTCACTTGTTCTGAGGTCAGCTAGGGAAGAGATGACCAAAGGACAAGCGTGGGATTGCTGGTCAGAGCCCAGGGTTTGAGCCAAGGCTGTAAATGTGTTAACCTGACTGAGTGCTAATGTCCTTCTTCATTTGTAAATTATTAGACATTAGGTAGCGACCAATGATGATTTCTAGTTTTAAGTTATTCACAGTAGGTAGCTTCTTCCTGGAAAAACCTAAGTTAAGCTAGTACTTACGCTGTAGGCTGCTGAGTGTGGAGCTGCTAAAGGCACTTTTGTATCTGCTGTGTACTATAGCAATAAATACGGTTTGTTAGGAAACTCTCCAGTGGTGGGCTTTACTCTTTTTAAAAAGGGTTTATGTACAGCAGAATACTTGTAAACTTTGGAAGATCTCTGCCTTCTGAGTGCTAGTGTTAAAGATGCACGGCCATGCCAGGTCTCAGTGATATTCTTCTATTGTGGGTGTTACATAGCATCCTCCTCCTGAACTGGGTGCTGTGTACTGGGCCTTAGTTTTTTTTTTTTTTTTTTTTTTTTTTAAGCGCTGGTGCTCTCTGTGGGTAAAGAGGGTAAACCCCCTCGTCAAGCAAAAAGAGAAAACACAAAGTACTGACTATTAGAAATAGGTTTGAGGGGCTGAACAGATGTCTTGGAAGCTAAGAGCACTTTCTGTTCTTGCAGCAACTGGTTCAGTCCGCTCAGCTCCCAACCACCTGTAACTCCAGCACCACATGATCTTACACCCTCTTCTGGCCTCCCTGGGCACCTGCACATATGTGGCACGCACACATACAAATAAAAATAATAAAAAAATGTTTTATTTCTTAGTATGTAAAATTTTCCGAAAAGTCAAGTTGACCCGAGGAGCCAGGACCTTCTTGCGGATGGGGAGACTGTGGTACCAATGGGCGTTGGTGGGGTGGTTCATCATCAGTAGGCTTCCGTGGGCCAGCTGCAGCCTGACTACCTCCACTGTCTGCCTGGGCCTCTTCCCTCGAGAGTCTTTGTGCCGGAAGAGGAAGTCTCTGCAGGCCCCAAAGGAGACAGATGCGATGGGACTCCCGGGGGCCAGTTCTCTTTCATCATCTCTGTGCTCCCCGATGTGGTCGCAACCATCTTTGTACCTGTAGTGGGAAAACAATCAAATTGCAGAAGAAACCCTCCCTATCACCTGCTGATGCTGCAGGTCCTTTATCCTTTTGTAGCCTGAAGCAGTGTGCCGTTTCTGTACATCCCTGGCCAGGGAGGCCAGTGAGCCCAGCCTGAACGGCTTGGCCAAGCGTGGTGGTTTTAAAGAGGAAGGCCCCCATAGGCTCATATGTTGCATGCTTGGTCTCCAGTTGGTGGGACTTTGGGGCCAATCAGGCGGTGTGGCCTTGTTGGAGTAGGTGTGCCACTGTGGTTGGGCTTTGAAGTTTCAATAGCTCACACCAAGCCTGTCTGTCTGTCTCTCTGCTGCCTGCAGATCAGAATGTAAAGCTCTCAGCTACTGCTCCAGGGCCACTGTGGTGATCATGAACTAATTCTCTAAAACCGTAAGCAAGCCTCAGGGAAATGCTTTCTTTTCTAATTGTTGCTTTGGTCATGATGTCTCCTCACAGCAACAGAACAGTGATTGGGACACTTAGTTACTTCCTATAATGCTTGCAGAGCTCACACATCAAATAAAATAGCCATGCCTTCAGTCACCAGGTTCAGGTATGGAAAACCTGCCATATTTCTCCTGCATACACACTAGCCATGAGCCTGTGCAGTCTGGCCCTGCCCTTCAAACTCTTCTCTCCACAGTTCCTGATCTCCAGCCGCACCAAAGGATTTCCACTCCATGGACACCATGTGCTTCCTCTGCTCTACTCCAGATGATATCTCCAGCTCTAGCTAGTTCCAGGTCAAATGTCACTACCTTGAGGAACCTCCCTCTAACCATCCCTTTAGCCCAGGCCTCGGAACCTGGCTGTTCTGTCCTCAGAACACACTGCTGGCTGCTATAATGGAAGCAGGGTGCTACCAGCACCGACAGGTGGAGGCTAGGGATGTGCTGCGTGTCCCAGAGCACAGGTCACCCACACACAGAAAATACTTCCTGACCCACCCCAAATGTTAGCAGTAGTGTACCATCCTGAGCCCCTGTCCCAAACCCAGCCCCATCCTCAGGCCAATCAATCTGTTTAACTTTTCCAGGAACCTTAAGCAATCCCTCACTTCCTCCTCACAATTCTGTGTGGGGGGTTCATGCACAGGAGTTCAGTACTCGAGGAGACTAGAGGTATGGGATCCCCTGGAGCTGGGGCTGGAGTTACTGGTGTCAGAAACTGAATTTGGGTTCCCTACAAGGGCAGCACTCATCTCTCTGGTCCCTCGTCCAGTACAGAAGGGTTGTCACAAGTTAACAAAGCATGGTAGAGTCCTGAACTCTTCCCTGTGGAGGAAATGTTACCTGTTAATGAGCACAAAGTTGAAGCTCTGCCCTGTCACCCTGCAGACTCGATCTCGAACACGCTCCAGAACTGGAATCCAGGGCTTTGGCGTCAGTGTAAGACCAGAAAAGGTGTATGTCAGTCCAGCATCTCCGTAGGTCGCCTGCTTCCTGGGAACGCTGTGCCACTTTCCAAACACCTGGACCTTGGCCAGTGCACCTGTGCAGATGAAATGGCTGCTCCATCCCTGGTCCTCAAGGGATGTAGCCAGAGGAGTCCAATACACTCATCTGCTGGGTATTCAAAAGGGAGGGAACTAGAAATGGCATTTTCCTCTGCTCCTTGTGTATAATGCCCTGTTGGGGACCTTATCCCCTAAGTCCGTGGCGTGTTCTCACTTTCATGAAAGGGCATGATGGTGCACCACTGTAGTCTCATCACTCTGACGATGAGGTAGGTGGAACACAAGTTCCAGGCTAGAGTGTCTCAAAAGACAAAAGGTTTGGAAAGGTGGCTCAGATGGTAAAGTGCCTGCCACAGGTGTAGCTACATGTGCTCAAATCCCAGTGCAGGAGGCTCACTGGCCTGCTGGACTATCTAGATCTCCAAGTTCCAGACTCAGCAAGAGACCCTATCTTGGGGCTGGAGAGATGGCTCCGAGGTTAAGAGCACTGGCTGCTCTTCCAGAGGTCCTGAGTTCAATTCCCAGCAACCACATGGTGGCTCACAACCATCTGTAATGAGATATGGTGCCTTCTTCTGACCTGCAGGCCTTAAATAAGCCTTAAAAAGAGAGACAGACAGACAGACAGACACCCAGTACCTCAAAAAATGAGGAGGTGGGCCGGGCGTTGGTGGTGCATGCCTTTAATCCCAGCACTCGGGAGGCAGAGGCAGGCGGATCTCTGTGAGTTCGAGGCCAGCCTGGTCTCCAGAGCGAGTGCCAGGATAGGCTCCTCAAAAAAAAAAAAAAAAAAAAAAAAAAAAGAGGAGGTCCCCAGCTGGGCACTATACAACACACGAGGACAGAAGGAATGCAAATGAACGTACTCAATACATTGGGCAGGGTGCAGACACACAAAACATGTTAGACAAACTAGCATGAAAATCAGTGGACCACAAAAACAAAACAAAGTACGACAGGGGCTTGGGATGCAGGGTTCTGCAGGAGAGGAGGCAAGAGAATGGGTAGTGTGTGAAAATAACCAAAATACATTGTACACATCCATGAAATTGTTGAAAAATTAAAAAACAAACTACAGATGACTTGGTCTACAGCAGCTGAGGCCCTTCTTTCTCCTTCCAAAAACAAACAAACCACTGTTTTATACACTAGGGCCGTGAGCACCGGAGAGGCAGAGACAGGTGGATCTCTGTGAGTTGGAGGCCAGCCTGGTCTACAGAGTGAGTTCCTGGCTATACAGAAAAACCGTGTCTCAAAAAATCAAAACATAACTTTTATGCATTTATTTATTTTATTTTGTCTGCATGTAATGTCTGTGAACCCTGTATCTGTCTGGTACCTTGAAGACTGGAAGAGGGTATCAGAGTGCCTAGGTCTGGAGGGTTGTGAGCTGCCATGTTGGTGCTGGGAATTGAACCTGGGTCCTCTGGGAGAGCAGCTAGTGCTCTTAACTGCTGAGTCATCTTTCAGCTCCTCTATTTATTTATTTATTTATTTATTTATTTATTTATGGCCTTTAAAGGCAGGGTCTTATGTAGCCCAGGCTGGCCTTGAACCAGCTCTCCACTTAGCTGAGCATAACCTTGAACTCTCCCAAGTTCTTGGAATTACAGGTACACACCACCATACTCTGGATGGCTTCAGTTTAATGTTTTTTGTTTGTTTGTTTGTTTTGGCTTCTTTTTTTCGAGACAGGGTTTCTCTGTGTAGCTTTGCCTCCCGAGTGCTGGGATTAAAGGAGTGTGCCACCAACGCCCGGCTTCAGTTTTTTTTTTCTTTTTAAATCATGCTTTTTTTTTTAAGATTTTATTTTTTAGAAATTTATTCTAAATTTATTTACTTATTTAAGTCTTCTGCCTGCATGCCAGCAGAGGGCACCAGATCTCATCCAAGGTGGTTGTGAGCCACCATGTGGTTGGTGGGAATTGAACTCAGGACCTCTGGAAGAGCAGTCAGTGCTCTTAACCGCTGAGCCATCTCTCCAGTCCCCGGACTCAGATTTTAAAACTGCATGTTCATTGGAACATTAAAGAGACAGCGCTGAGCACAGTGAAGTCGAGTCATGGCTACATGGTTTTGTCAGCTGTGTGCACTAAAGGCCTACGGATTCATCAAAGATGGGGATTATTGCAGGTCAGGCTGGTACAGACCCTGTGTGCTCATCTTAGCTTCTCAATACGTGGTCTCCAGGCAATAATAGCATCAACACCACCTGCAAACTCTTCAGGGAGGCATCAGAGTTCTGAGTGGCTGCAGGCTGAACCACCCAGCCTTCAGTGAGAAACTACCTGGCTATCTGTGGTATCTCCTACTGGACAAGCACAGCTTGGCTACACATGAGTGTATTTGTTCGTTTTGACAATGTTGGAGTCTAACCTGGGGCTTGTCCATGCTTCAGCACTGTATCAAAGGCCTGGAAGACAGCTGCACCTCCGGCTATTCTGACAATATCACAAAGAACCCAGAATGGCTTGGGTTTTGTTTTTTGTTCTTTTCCTTTGTTTTTGTTTTGTTGTACTACCCAGGCAATTCCAATCAGAAGCCAAGTAATTTCGCCCTAGACCCTGTCGCAGCCTGAGTTCACGCTCCTAACAGAGACTTAATTTTTTCACCACCTAAGCCTAACACCTATAGTCCTCCGCTTACCGGTAAAATACTCCACTTCTTGCTCCAACTCTCGGAAGATCTCGTCTGCCTCGGCTTTGCCAAACAGGACGGTGTAATCACAATTCAGACCTTGCGCACGGAGGTGCCTCCAGTTGGGGCTCGGCTGGCCGCCCGAGGCTCCTCCCGACGGGGCTGACTCCTCCCCTCCCGCTCCGAGGTCGCCCGGGTCTGGCTTCACCAGGAACCTGTCCATCCCGCCGCCCTGCACAGCCATGGAGGCGAGTAACCACGCGAGGGGGACCCGGGCTCAGCCCTCCACCCGCGTGCCACAGACACGTCTGCAAAGGGAACACAGGGCATTAAAACTAGGAACTGCTTGGCTGGCGGTCCTTAGCCAGGTGGTGGGCTTGCAAACCGCACCGGCCTGCTGTTTTGTTTACGTTTTCGTAGCACAGGTTGACCTCCGCCGCACAATCCTCCCGCCTCGGTCGCCCAACTGCCGGGATCCCGGGCACGCAGCCCCGGGTCCCGCCCTCTCCGGCTGCAAACGCTGCCGAGGGGGAAGGCGCACGCGCAAAGTCACAGGGTCCGCCCAAAGCCACCCAGAAAAGCCGGGTGTCTCTGTCCTGCGGAGAAGGGACCGACACGGGAGGGTAGCCGTGCTCCACCGGAGAGATTCAGGGTACGCGGTCCCCCGCGCGAGGGCTCCGCACAGACACTCGCAGCTCCGGGCGCCATACAGGCCTCTGCCGCCCGCGCGGGACTTCCGGCACAGCGCCACCTGCCGGCCCGTCTGCGCACCGCAGGATGACGTCTGCTTCCCCCTCATGGTTCTTTAATGTTGAGGTTCTGGGGTCACCTCACAGGGCGTGGTGGTCGGGTCCAAGAGCCTGGTGTCTCGTGGGTGGGTGGGGGGACAATGTATAAACCTGAACATCTGGCAAAGCCACGGCATTGTCTGATCACCACAGTCAAGATGAAGAGCAATTAAACCATGCCATACAGTCCTACCCTAGGTACCAACTTAATGCCCCTGTCTACACAACCCTTACCTGCTCTGTCTGCTGTTCCTGGTTACTTTTCCCAGAATTCCAAATAAATGGGATTGTATGTTGTATAGTCTTTTCTGTTGGACTTCTTTTTGTAAGCACAATGCTTTTTTTTTTTTTTAAAGATTTTATTTATTATATATACAAAATTCTGCTTCCATGTATGGATGCACACCAGAAGAGGGCACCAGATCTCATAACGGATGGCTGTGAGCCACCATGTGGTTGCTGGGAATTGAACTCAGGATCTCTGGAAGAGCAGTCAGTGCTCTTAACCTCTGAGCCATCTCTCCAGCCCAAGCACATGCTTTTAAATAAAACCGTGTTGTGTGTCTGTGTGTGTGTTTAGCATCAAGTCCGGACGTTATATGTATATAATATACATAAAAATACGCCATTTGCACCAATTTTCCCCCTTTCATTGCTGGTTAGTATTCTGGTGTGTGGATGAGACACTATATAAAGACCGTGTGGCAGTCATTTCTGGCTCTAAGTGACACAGCAAAATCACTGTAAATATTGCTGCTCAAAATTTTACTTCATTTGAGGAAACGCCTAGGAGCGTGGTTGTGGGGCCGCACAACCAGAGGGAAAGTATGTGTCTATGACCTGCTTGTCTGTTGGAGCACATGCTGCTCTGTGATGGCGGCTCACTTCCTAAAAGCACTTCCTGTCCCTAAAAGCACTTCCTGTCCTGGACTCCCGCACCCTCCAGTAGCCCAGGCTGGCCTCTAACAAACCTATGTAGCCAAGATGGGCATTGGGGTTCGGGTCCTCCTGCCTCCACCTCCCAGATGCTGGGGTTACAGGAGGGTTTAACCTACACCCTCAAAAGATCACTCAGTAGAAAATAACAACTGGGATTGCTCAAGCCTAGAGTTGGGGTCTTACTGGGCGGGGGTGGGGGGGAGTGGTAACTGAAAGATGCTAAAGGCCTGAAAAGTGGGGAGGTAAGCAGGGGAGACAAAGTACAAGAGTGCGCATAGCTCGGTGGACAAATGGCTGTCCAGCACGCAACAAAGGCCCAGAGTTCAATCTCCAAGACTGAAAGGGAGGAAGGAGGGGAGCTGTATCTGGGGTGGAGGAACAACCTCCAAAGCCTCTACGTCTCCAGTCTTTTCAGTGAGCTGTGACACCAGTGAGACCAGGAGTAACTCCCCTGCAACTGCGAGCAAGGGCGGGCAGGTAGCCCTGCTGGCCTTGTAAGCCCCACCTCTCCAGGGGCGGGGTCGCAGCCCCTCCCACACATGCGCGCTGGACCCCACCTCCCCCAGCCCTGCCTGCCTCCCCGCCCCCAGTTGCAACTGGCGCGGGCGGCTGAGCGCCAAGTGTGAGCGCCGCTGCAAGCGTCCCGGAGCCCGGTCCTCGGTGCAGGCATGATCGGCCAGAAGACCCTCTACTCCTTCTTCTCCCCGACCCCCACCGGGAAGCGGAGCACGCGCAGCCCCGAGCCCGCCCCGGGGGCCGCCGGGCCGGGCCGGG